CCCCAAAACCCCAAAACCCCAAAACCCCAAAACCCCAGGACGATGAGTTATAAGTATTTGGATGAAGAATAAAAATAAATCTTTTTAGTTAAATCATAAAAATGAGCAGTGGTTTTTATCAGCAATTTTTCAGAATCTACTCCAGAGGTGTACTCCTAAGACAAATGTTCAGATCCTCGGCTAGAACATCCTAGAGATCAAACAATATGTTCAACAATTCAGCTGCTATGATCATTACTCCTCTTGCTTTCCAAATGCTTATCCTGAATAACTAGCACAATCTATCGCAATGCGAGGAAGCTCCCAGGTAAGATAGAATCAGAGGTAACTACGAGAACAAGATAAGATTCTTCAGTCCTCCAGAGAAAATTTTCGAGACATTTGCAAGTTCAAAGAATGAAAAAGGGGATCTTGTAATGAGCTATAGTGATTTCTTCAGAGCTCTGACACCATATAATCACTCAGAGATCAAGGACAGCAAACCTTACTTTGATAAGTACAAGCCAGACATTCTGAAAGTTGCTGATAGTAACGGAGATGGGGTAATCTCATTCCCAGAGTTCTTCTTCTTCATTACCATCCTTCAAATGCCATTAGGGTTAATTCATAAGGAGTTCACTAAACATGTGAAAGAAGGTGGAAAAATGAACTAAGATGAATTTTCAAAGACTTTGACTACTCTTAGAAAGAAGACCTTGCTAGGAACAAAGCAAATTAACAAGGGAATGGTGCCTGATGCTAGACTTATCTCTGCTACAGAAGATGACTTCTCTCAGACCAACAATGAAATCTGCAACTAATTGTTCAAGAACAAGACTCTTTTCTCTTATGAAGATTTCATAAACTTTAGAGATGAACTTAAAATAGCTCTCAGACACTACGAGTTCCATTAGTATGAAGTAAATGAAGAAAATGACTCAATTTCAATGGAAGACTTTACTAAGAGTCTGATGGTTTGTCTTCCTTACAAGGAAGCTCATATGTATATCAAGAGAGTGCATGAATTAAAATTAGATGGAGAGGTGTCATTCAAAGAATTTCTTGCTTTCTAAAGATTCATCGATGATGTTGACCACATTAAGGAGAAAGTACTCGTCTATAGATATATTACTTTGGATTAACTGAAGTCATTATGCAAAGAGTTCTGTGAAGAAGATGAATTTTGCAAGAAAGAGAATGTCTAAATCAATCCTAAGCAAGTAGAGGCTCTGGTTAGGCTACTCGACTTGGATGGTAACGGCTAATTAGACCATGATGAGGTTATCGGAGTACTTGATCAAAGGCAATTGCTAGGACAAGGCAAAGAAAACGAGTTAAAGGAAGCAATTGAGTCCAGTTTCAAGAAAGTTGTTCAATGGTTCAGAGAAACTCTTGGAATTTGAGGAAAGATATAACAAAAGGGATTCACTCAGCGCTCTCAAGCATTAAGTTTTATTTTAAACTTAATATTTTATGTTTAGATATCATTACCAGCTTTATTATTCGGTAAATGGAATCACGGGGTTTTGGGGTTTTGGGGTTTTGGGG